GGACCTTGTTTCTAACTCATAAAAGTGAGGCATTTCACGTTTTCAAAAATTTCTTAAAGAAAGTTCAAAATGAAAAAGAGACAACCATAGTAGCCATAAGAAGCGACCATGGGGGAGAGTTCGAACGAAATTTGTTCTCAGATTTGTGTGACGAACTTGGCATTGATCATAACTTCTCAGCCCCACGTACACCACAACAAAATGGAGTGGTGGAACGTAAAAATAGATGTCTCGAAGAGATGGCTAGAACTATGATCAATGAGGCAAAAATCCCTAAGTATTTTTGGGCGGATGCCGTGAGTACCGCGAGCTACGTATTAAACCGAGCCGTCATTCGACCGATACTCATGAAAATGCCCTATGAACTATACAAAGGAAGAAAGCCAAACCTTTCTCATCTTCGAGTCTTTGGTTGCAAGTGTTTTATTCATAACAATGGCAAAGACAACTTAGGCAAATTTGATGCAAAGTCGGATGAAGGAATTTTTCTGGGTTACTCACTACGTAGCAAGTCCTATAGAGTCTTCAATAAACGTACCTTGACTATTGAGGAGTCTCCTCACATTGTATTTTCCGAAGATAATCCTCACTTGGCAAGAAAGGATATTTGTGATGATCTTACAGATTCATTAGAGAGAATACACGTTGATGACGATGAAGACTACACGGGAATATACATCAACACACAGCCGCAAACTGGGGAGATACCTCAAGCGACTAACCAAGGTGGAGAAGAAAATCAGGAGAAAGAAGAGGAACAAGAGGAACACGAAGAAGAAGCAACCGAGCTTCCCATAGTATGGAGAACAAACAAGAACCATCCGCTTGACCAGGTAATCGGTAGCATCAACCGCGGGGTAAGTACTCGTAACTCACTTAGGGACACCGTAGGACACATGGCTTTTGTTTCTCAAATTGAACCTACAACCATTTCCAAAGCAATACACGATGAACATTGGACCTTGGCTATGCAAGAGGAGCTAAACCAATTCAAACGGAATGACGTTTGGGAATTGGTGCCAAGACCCAATGATCGTACGATTATTGGTACGAAATGGGTGTTCCGTAACAAACTTGATGAAAATGGAATAATCACTAGAAACAAAGCTAGGCTCGTAGCTAAAGGCTACAATCAAGAAAAAGGCATTGATTTCGAGGAAACTTATGCACCTGTAGCACGTTTAGAAGCTATTCGTTTACTTCTTGCTTTTGCTTCGTCTATGGATTTTGAACTTTATCAAATGGATGTTAAGAGTGCCTTCCTCAATGGTTTTATTCAAGAGGAAGTGTATGTTGACCAACCCCCGGGGTTTGAAGACTTTGAGTTTCCCGACCATGTCTTCAAACTCAAGAAAGCGCTCTACGGTCTTAAACAAGCACCTCGTGCTTGGTATGAACGTTTGAGCAAATATCTTTTGGATAGTGGTTTCCAAAGGGGAAAGGTAGACACCACACTTTTTATCAAGAGTAAAAACAATAACATCCTTTTGGTTCAAGTTTATGTAGACGATATTATATTCGGTGCTACTAACGAGTCTTTGTGCAAGGAATTCTCAACGTTAATGACAAGCGAGTTCGAAATGTCGATGATGCGTGAGCTCACATTCTTTTTGGGACTCCAAGTCAAGCAAATGAATGATGGCACGTTCATTTGTCAAACTAAATATTGCAAGGAGCTCCTAAAACGGTTTGAAATGGACAACACCAAAGCCATGGCGACCCCGATGAGCACGTCCGACCATCTAGACAAAGACGAGAAAGGTAAGGAAGTATAAGTCAAAAAGTATCGAGGTATGATCGGATCCCTTCTCTATCTTACCGCTAGTAGGCCGGATATCATGTTTAGCGTATGCCTTTGTGCAAGGTATCAATCATGTCCGAAGGAATCGCACTTAACAGCCGTGAAACGGATCATGAAATACCTTGTTGGCACGGTTAACGTTGGACTGTGGTATCCAAAAGGCTCTTCGTGTCATCTCGCTGGGTATTCCGATTCGGACTTTGCCGGTTGCAAATTGGACCGTAAAAGTACAAGTGGGACTTTCCACTTACTTGGTAGCTCTTTAGTTTCATGGTTTAGTAAGAAACAAGTCAGTGTTGCGTTATCCACAACCGAAGCGGAATACGTTGCCGCCGGCAGTTGCTGTGCTCAAATCCTTTGGATGAAGCAACAACTCGTGGATTATGGCCTTAGTATCAGTCACGTTCCACTCCGTTGTGATAATACTAGCGCCATAAGCTTGACGAAGAACCCCGTTCTTCATTCAAGAACGAAACACATTGACATTAGGCACCATTTCGTTAGAGATCATGTTCTCAAAGGTGATGTCGAAATTGAGTTTGTTGAAACACACAACCAATTAGCCGACATTTTCACAAAACCTTTAGAGAAAGAATCGTTCTTCCGCATTCGTAGTGAACTCGGAATCCTTGACTCCACGATGATCTAATTTGTGCATTTTATCACTTTTTTTTCTTTGCTTGACCGTTTATTAACTTGAGCGTCGGAGGGTTTTCTAACTATTTTTTGCAGGAACGGTTCGAAGTGAAGAATTCTGGAAATCAGGGGGAACCAGCGATGGGTGCGTTATACCATCGCTGGGAGGGAAGTCTTCACTTTTCCAGGACCCCTCTTCCCATCGATGGGTGCTTCTCCCCATCGATGGGTAATTGACTCTCTTTTCTTAAAAACTTTTAACGGATTTCCAGAAACACCTTACCCATCGATGGGTATTTCATCCCATCGCTGGGTGTTTGACACTATTTTTTAAAATTTTTTTTATCAGATTCCCAAAATCACCAACCCAGCGATGGGATGGTATTAACATCGCTGGGAAGGCTTTCGTCCTTTATCCTTCACTTTCCAGAACACACCTTCCCATCGATGGGAGAGTCCACACATCGCTGGGAAGGCAATCTGGTTTTCTTATTCGCCTTCCAGTAGCGACCCTCCCATCGATGGGTAGTTCCTACCATCGCTGGGAAGGCTGTTGAAATTCAAAAATTATGGCCGTTGGGCACCGAATTTAATGCCCAGCAGCCATATTTTTTGAATTCACACGTCTTTTTCCTCCTCTCCCTATATATTCACATCATCCCTTACCTTCTTAACACACAATTAACATCATTATTTCATTTTTTTAGCCTATACCACTTATTTCTTCAATCTTTCTTCAAAAACGCCTCAATCATGGCCGGAGGAAGATCAAAGTCTAAGGCTTCCAAGAAGAAAAGCACCGCCGAACCCTCAAGTTCCGCGCCTCCTCCGTTCCCATATTTGGACGGATCATTTCTTGAGTTCGAGTAGGAGGAAGAACTAACACGCTTCCTCACTCACTTTGCCAAGCGCCCGATCTCTCCACCTCGCGTGCTCCCGGAGTTGTTTCCCCAAGACAAAGGGTACCACGACCTCGACAACCAACTCCAAGCGTCGGGTTTGTGGCCATTCGTCTCCAAGAGCCGCTCGAGCTTCAATCCCGCCTTCGTCCGGGCTTTCTACTCTAATCTCCGCCGTGACGGGGACACCATTCGCAGCAGCATCAATCTCTACGACATAGAGATTGATTTGCCTACCTTTGCTCGGGTCGCAGGGCTGCCCATCCGCGGTGACGACATCGCAACGTATGGCGGCGATGATTGGATCCTCAAAAACGAGGCGGTGGTCATCCGAGAGCTTGGGATCACCAACCTCATCCGCCACAGCGGCGCACCGACGATTCACTCGGCCCCACCGGACAAGCGCCTCCTCCTCTACATCATCACCCGGATTCTCCGCCCCCGGGACAGCAGCCATACCTCGCTCTTCAACGAGGACTTGAAGGCGATTCATGCCATCATCCACGGCGCCTCCATCAATTGGGCGAAATTCGTGATGATCCACATGGCGGATTGCGCCTCCATCGCCACTGAGCGGAGCTTGCCATACGCCTTCCTCGTCATGGACCTCATCATCTCCGCCGACATCTCCATCGCCGGCCCGGATACGAAGATGACAAAGATTTGGATAATTCAAGACAGCACCTTCCGGAAGAAGTCCGGAGACCGGGACGGCGCAGGCCCAAGTCGTGCACCAGCCCCCGCTCCCGCCAAGGCCTCTTTGCAATCCATAGCCGATACTCTGAATCGGCTAACCCTCACAGTGGATGGCATGGGGCAGTCAATCGAG